AACGTAATTTTTTTTTTTTTTTGGGAGGGCTGGAAACAAATCAAAATTATTTACATTACTTTAAATGGGAAAATAGTTTTAGAATACGAATTATTCACCATACTAGCTTAGTCTTGGAACAGATTAAATTCGTATCCAGTGATTTCAATGAATTTGTTTATACATGTTATATTTTTTTAAATCCTTCACCGGATGACAACTCCGACAGAAAGTTCGGTTTGTTCACTCATTTCTGGACTTTTATACTTTGCCATTGTTCCAGGACTTGGGCTTTACATGCAGATCCGTTTTATAGATCTGGCTTATATGTATGCAGACTACTGGTTTCTCCCCTCTCTTGCGCTCTGAGGAATAAACAGAACAGACAGTGCGAGTTAAAATGCAAAGCACGGCCTGAAGCTAAAATTAGCCAGTTCTGACAAGACACTGTCAACAAACCCTGTTTTAGAACTTGTGCAAGCTCCTACTTCGCGCAAATAGCATGTCTGTTCGACTGTGCGGAGCTAGTTTTCCAATTATTTTTAATCTTATTCGTTCTCTTGTTCATAGACTTTCCACACTCGACTACAGGTTACGTACTGGCCCCTTTTGGGGTGTCCCAATAAAACTGTGTTACTTGAGATCAGGCGTTTTTCCTGTGGCAACCTATGGTTGTGAGTTCTTGGCTCTCACTCAGTCACTGAAGAAAAAGATTGGAGCTTTTGAATTAAAATGTTACAGAAAAATTCTCAGAACACCATGGATTAAGAAGAGAAAAACCATCCACATTCTACACGAGTTGAACATCAAGGAGAACTGGCTCATAAACAGCATCCTGTCCCGAAAGTTGAAGTATTTAGGCCACATCAAACGTTATGGGGGCTTGGAAACGATTATATGGAGACTAAAGTTTGTGGAAGGCGAGTCAGGGGTCGACCTGCACGAATATGGATACAGGACATTAAAGATGTATTGGCATTGAAAGCACATGGGGCTGGAGAGCTGGCCAGGAAAAGGGATACTTTCAGGCGTAACGTGAAGAGAGCGACGTTCTGTAAAGGACTTGCTTATTGATGATGATGATAAATATATATAGTGCTTTATACAGTCGGCGTCTGTGGCTTAATTATTGCGAACGCGCTTCGTAATGCCGGGGTGCCGGGGTGCCGGGGTGCCGGGTTCGATCCCAGCTGCGGACGCTTTGTCTTGCATTTTTTTCCATAACAGTACCGATAGCTAACCGTTCAGTTAATGGCAAACTACTGATCGTAAAATATGTCTACAAAAAAAAACACATCATCATCATCATCAGTTCTCGTTATGCCTAGTGGCACATGAGGCTTCAGAGAGAACTTCCCATGCTTTCCTGTCCTGTGCAATCTCAGTGCAGTTTTCCATGTCAAAGATGCCGCACTCAGGTCACTTTCCATCGTTCGTCTCCATGTTGTTTTTGGGCGCCCCTGTTTTCTCTTTCCCTCTGGTGTCCATGTGAGAGCTGTTTTGGCAGGTATATCAGAAGTCATTCTCATAACGTGGTCAAGCCATTTCCATCTTCTCTTGGTAAAAATACTGTCTAAAGTTTCTTGGTTTGTGGCTTGAAGTAGTTTAGTGTTTGAGATTGTATCAGGCCAGAAAATTTTGATAATTCTACATAGACATGTGTGGTGGAAGGTGGACAGATTGTGTGCATCCTTTTTGGTCATTCTCCAGCATTCCGCTCCATAAAGAAGAACTGGCAAAATGATGCTCTTGTAGAGTCGGAGTTTCGTTCCTCTGCAGTAATTGTTGGATTTCCAGATTTGCCTCATCCTTCCAAAAGCAGCTCTAGCTTTGTTCAGGCGTGACTGTATGTCTTCCTCTGTCCCTCCCAGTAGGGACACCATACTGCCAAGATATGTGAATTGTTCTACATTTTCAAGTGATTGGTTATTTATGGTCACTGGTTGTTGGTTTGGACTGTTTGTCATGATCTTAGTTTTCTTTGTATTTATTCTCAGTCCCACCATTTCTGCTGTGCAGTTTATTCTGTTACTTCTGAATATAGCCGGGCTATAAGTATGGCCTAACAGTTGAAAGGAGTTTCTGGAACCTCTCCACGGGTGATCTTCATCCGCATGGTGGCGCTATGTGTCACCGGGTGTTTATAGCTTGTATGATGTCCTGGTGGGGTACAACTACCTACCGACCAATCATGTAAAGGATACGCAACTAACTTCATAGAGCTATTCGGTTGAACGGGTTTTCATGAACTCTTTCTTAAGCTTTCCATCATACAGACTGCAGTGCTGGAGGGAAAAGACTAAAAGTATTTAGACAAGGAGGGGGCGGGGGGGGGGGGGGGGGTCCTCCAAGGCTAAGTGGTCGTGTCGTTTGCATCGCGCTCTGAATGAAGGTCGTAGGCTCACTTGTTCAGGTCACAAATGAAATTTTTACAGAGATTGCTGGAAATCGTCGCTGGAACAGTGAGGTTCGTGCTTTGTGTGGCAAACTCAGCAGGAGACTCGCCGTTCTAACAAGAGAGATTAAGCCATATGGGATTAACCCCAGTACACAGAGGTCGGTCCTCTCGACTTTAACCTCAGCCTTCTTCTTCTTCTTCTTCTCCTTTCTTCTTCTTCTTGTTCTTCTTCTTCTACCTCTTCTCCTCCTTCTTCTTCTTCTTCTTGTTCTTCTTGTTCTTCTTCTTCTACTTCTTCTCCTCCTTCTTCTTCTTTTCCTTCTTCTTGTTCTTCTCCTCCTTCCTCTCCTCCCCCACCTTTTTCTTCTTATTATTATTACTCCTCCTCCTCCTCTTCTTCTTCTTCTTCTTCTTCTTCTTCTTCTTCTTCTTCTTCTTCTTCTTCTTCTTCTTCTTCTTCTTCTTCTTCTTCTTCTTCCCTTTCTCACTTTTTTTTTTGGGGGGGGGGGGAGGGGGGGGCCACATCAGTGATCGCATTTTCACGTCTTAAAAATAAAAATAACCAACAAGGTTAACACACAATGTGTGCGTTCTGAAAAGGGAAGAGGCTTTGAGAATGAGAGTGGTCTCTTTGTATTCCGATGTATTTTTAGACTCCATGGTGCATCTCGGCTGCTATCGGCTCTAGTTATTTCCCCCGTCATCTATTTTCTGTTTTATTTACGCTAACATAACTCATTGCTTCCCGTTCATAACTGCGTAGTGAGCATTTTCTCACGTCCACCAGAAGTCACTTCGCATGCATTTATTACACTAGTCAACAACCAAAATGCACCAGAAATGAAAGTAGCTGATCTTAACTAATTTTGGCGTGCTGAATACGAGAATGACATTTAAAAATGTTGATTGGCTCAGGTTTTCCAGATTTACACAAGTTCACTTAATTATGGCCAAATTATAGATATGACGCCGATCAGGTCCATGCGGCACGTGCACGAGACATAACTACTGCTCCGAAACAAGTATGTCGTAGGATGAGACTAATTCATTCGAGACGATCAGTGAGACGACAAAACAATGACACTGGGCTACAACCTGGTATCGGTGAGACGACAAAACCATGACACTGGGCTACAACCTGGTATCAGTGAGTCGAAAAAACAATGACACTGAGCTACAACCTGGTATCAGTGAGACGACAAAACAACGACACTGAGCTACAACCTGGTATCAGTGAGTCGACAAAACTATGACACTGAGCTACAACCTGGTTTTAGTGAGACGACAAAACAATGACACTGGGCTACAACCTGGTATCAGTGAGACGACAAAACTATGACACTGGGCTACAACCTGGTATCAGTGAGACGACAAAACCACGAGACTGGGCTACAACCTGGTATCATTGAGACGACAAAATCACGACAATGGGCTACAACCTGGTATCAGTGAGGCGACAAAACCACGACAATGGGCTACAACCTGGTATCAGTGGGGCGACAAAACCAAGACAATGGGTTACAACCTGGTATCAGTGAGGCGACAAAACCAAGACAATGGGTTACAACCTGGTATCAGTAAGACGACAAAACCACGACACTGGGCTACAAAAAAAAACATTTCCCCGTCATAGCTGAGTTAAAGTTTTGTGTGTGTGTTGTTCCTCTTCGCCGTTTCTTTAAGCTTTTTAGTTACAGTTCATTGGATTTATTTCTTGTTTTTAGCTTTACTATATTAACCCATGACCGTCTTTAGTACAGTCGGTCATGATTCCCCCCCCCCCCCCCCCCCCCCTCGCTTTCGTGGGGTTCCAGGTCGACCCAGCCTTGAATGGGTACCAAATGCATTCCTTGGGAAGTAAAGGCGGCCGGCGTGTTGGTGACCACATTACCAACCAAGTGCCCATAGGTCTATAAAAAATATAGGTCTAGCCCTATATTCCCAATAGGCCTAGAGGCGTGGGAAAGGGGGGGGGGAGGTTGGGGGGGGGGCGGGGATGATTCACCCCTGTGTTCACCACTTGATGGTCCAAAGTCCAGAACAGAATCGACTTGCTTGCACCAGAATGTCCAGTATGGCTGGGTTTGTTTCTCTTCGCAGAACGGCTAGGTGTTTGCAAAGAACGCACGAACTTCATAACTCCAGCAGCTATCCCTAGTAAAACTATACTCGGGAATTGAATGACATAAGAAGGCAGACCAGAGAGATGAATGGAGGCGGGTGATATCTTCAAGGGCTCAGGATGCTGCAGAAGAAGAAGAAGAAGAAGAAGAAGAAGAAGAAGAAGAAGAAGAAGAAGAAGAAGAAGAAGAAGAAGGAGAAGGAGAAGAAGAAGAAGAAGAAGAAGAAGAAGAAGAAGAAGAAGAAGAAGAAGAAGAAGAAGAAGAAGAAGAAGAAGCAGCAGCAGAAGAAGAAGAAGAAGAAGAAGAAGAAGAAGAAGAAGAAGAAGAAGAAGAAGAAGAAGAAGAAGAAGAAGAAGAAGAAGAAGAACAAGAAGAACAAGAAGAACAAGAAGAACAAGAAGAACAAGAAGAACAAGAACAAGAACAAGAGGGAGAAGAAGAAGAAGATTCTCGATGACCCTGTATAAACACTAAAAGTCCACTTTACATTCTATGTCCAGGTGGCACTAGTGGCCTGGGAAAAGCCACGGCTGTGGAGTTGGCCAAGAGAAACGCCCGGGTCATCATCACAGGTCGTGACCTGGTCAAGGCTGAGGCCATTGCCAGAAATATCAGGTAGGATTCTCTCTCTCGTTCTATCTTTCTCTCTATCTCTCTCCTTCCCTTCCTCCATCCCTCTTTCCATCACTCCCCTCCTTCCCCCTCTCTGTCCTTTCTCTCTCCACCTTTCTTTTTCTTTTTAAAGCATGCCGTGGGGCGTTGAGTGAGTGAGTGGGTGGGTGAGTGAGTAAGTGAGTGAGTGGGTGAGTGAGTGAGTGAGTGAGTGAGTGAGTGAGTGAGTGAGTGAGTGAGTGAGTGAGTGAGGGGGTGAGTGAGTTTAGGTGGAAAAGTTCAACCCCACCAGGACCGTACAACGAGTAAAAACCACCCAGTGACACAAAGTGTCACCATTCGGATGAGAATCGTCTGGGCACAAGTCCCATAAACCCCGTTCAACCGTTAGGTCATATTTGGCCTCCCAGTAACAGCTGGGTGGGGCTTTACAATAAACATAAAAATGTGTGACCTATATTGGGGCAAAGGGAAACAGATGGATAGAGAAAAAGAGGATGTCGAAGATAAATCCTCCATCTAGGATATGGATCTTTTCTCCAGTCTATGCCATGGCCTAAAGAGATTCCTGATGTCCTGCAAATATGTTTATTTTGCTGTTCTATCGATTTTTCTGAATAAGCACATTTGTACAACTTTTAGTCAGTTGTTCCGTCTGCTATTTTGTACTCAACTGGAACAACAAATTCTAATTTCCCACCCACAGAAAGAAAACAGGAAATCAGCAAGTGAACGCTGTACACCTTGACCTTGGCAGCCTAAGAAACATTCGCGATTTTGCAGATGATTTTAGCAAAAGTGAAAAATTCTTGCATGTGCTTATCAATAACGCAGGTAAGCTGACGTCATATTTGTACCTCCAGTATAAGCAGGCAGTTCAGTTATAAGCTTGCTTTAGAGGCTATCTGTGTAGTTTCAATATACTATTGTTTCATTACTTCTGTAATGGTGATGTTTTTCCTTTCTTTATTGTCTTCAGTCATCATCATCTTGAACAAATATTCCGTTGTCAGACTTATTTAAAGTTGCCTCAGTACTTTCTTTATTGCATTGTTTCATTACTTTTGGTGATAGTTTTTAATAATTAATTCGTTCATCATCATCATCCCCATCACAATCACCAGCAGCATCATCATCATCCTTATCATCACCATCATCATCACCATCATATCTATGTCAGCACCATCACCAACATCACTCCCATCATCAGCAGCAGCATCATCATTGTCATCACTACCACAATCATCATCACCACCGTATCTATGTCAGCACCATCATCCCCATCACCAACATCACTCCAATTATCATTATCAGCAGCATCATCATCATCATCATTGTCATCACTACTACCATCATTACCTACATTATCATCATCAGCAGTATCATCAGAATTGTTATCCCAGTTATCATCTCTGCCATCATCTCTTTCATCATCACCACAATGATCACCAGCTTTAACATCATCATAATCAAATAAGCCTAAATCTTTTTTTAGGCTGGTGTCGAAGCCCACAGACTACTTACTATACTAGTATAGTTTCGTTATTTGATGCATAGTTTTTATTTACCCATCAAATTGTTCAACTCTTGCACTTTTTTTAAAAACTTAAATCAATCTTCCTCACTAGATACAAACACAGCCCGTCCTGACTTCAGCCTACTATGTAACCGCCCTGTGCCTAATAGAAATGCTTTATCTGATTGAAAGGAACTTCCTGGATTTTTACCTGTTTGATGCTCATCCCTGATGTGGTTATCCCACCGGCCTTAATTCTGGGGAGGAACAATCAGATTTTAAAAAAAAAAAGGAAGAGCGGCAGTAGGACAGTAGTACAAGAAGTTGGAAAAGAATTTCCCATGGCCAGTTTTGTTTTTTTTTTTTTTTGACATCACCACAAATATTAAGAATCAGGCATTTATCTAGAAGAGTTAAATAGCCAACATAATCTTGGTCACAACCAGGACACCTGAGTGACTCAGATCAAAGACAAGACCAACATTTCATAACAGCGAATACTGGAGTACAAGTTACTTGCTAGCCATAGAGTAATACCCCAATATAACAGTGTGAACTAAAGATGCAGCCCACGGGCCGCATGAAGATAGGCACAGGATATAAGGGATATGTGGGTAGGAAAGTGCATAAATGAGAGCTGTTGAGAGATCGGTTTCTTTCAAGCAGACGGTGATGAGAACGATGCAAATGACTTGCTACATGATGATGATGAGTATTGTTCCAGAGAGGGTTGTTACATGTCCATATGGGTTGGTTTTTTTCCTAAGTCTTAGTCGAGGTTTCAGCATGACAGCAATCGGGTTTCCCCAAACCTGCTCTGTTCCTGTGTTAGTGCAAAACAAATGAAATATCTCTCACTGTCGCATTTGACAAACTGGTGAACAAACAATTAGTCCTGGAACAATCTATAAGCATGTGCACACAGTAAATGCAAATGGCAGTTGCTAAAGATGCCAAAGCCAACAGTCGCCACAAGAAATGCAATTTGTCATTGATGAAGGTAGTTGGGCATGATAACTTGGCTATACTCACGTAGAATTATTACATAAGGTATTTCACAAACTCAAATGTAAACCGGCTAAGGGCCATATTGAATACCATGACGCAACCACTGTACAAATTAATGGCATTCCACATTTGTTGTTTTTGTTGTTGTAAATACCTATTAGACTAAACAATTCACTTAACTCTCCCAGCATACATGGGCCCCAAGTCGGTGACTGACGATGGGCTGGAGCGAACGCTTGCTGTCAACTACCTGGGCCATTTCTACTTGACCCATCTTCTCACAGACAAGGTATTTGTTTCTTGTCCACAGCTCAGGAAATGTGTCATTATTGGCTGTACCACAGGTAAAAGAGAGTCTTACTGGTAACTATCCATAGGTCCCCATGTATGTTCCTCTGCCCTGTTCTGAGAGGAATCGAGAAGAAGAGACCCACCACCAACCCCCTTCCCCTACCCCACCCCTTTCCCTATTGGGCATGTCATAAATAATTACTAATGAGGGATTATTTTCTCTCTGAAGTCAGAGCACATCTGCCTGAGAGGTGAGGAACCAACAGTCTGCAAACAAATAAGCAGATCTATGAAATGAATGTGCACACAAAATTCAAGTTCTGAAACAAGATTTAAGGACTTAAGCCCAGAAGTGGAACAACCAGAACTTGCTGTCGGAGTTTAGTGCTGGTGAAGGCTAAGAAGAAAAAGAAGACTGTACAGGGGTAAATAAAAGTCTTATTGTTAACTGTACCACATCTTAGAGACCCCCACAAATTGTTAACTGTGCCACATCTTAGAGACCCCCACATATTGTTAACTGTACCACATCTTAGAGACCCCCACATATTGTTAACTGTACCACATGTTAGAGGCCCCCCACATATTGTTAACTACCACATTTTAGAGGCCTCTACTTATTGTTAACTGTACCACATTTTAGAGGCCCTCCACATATTGTTAACTGTACCACATCTTAGAGGCCCCCCACATATTGTTAACTGTACCACATGTTAGAGGCCCCCCACATATTGTTAACTGTACCACATGTTAGAGGCCCCCCACATATTGTTAACTGTACCACATCTTAGAGACCCCCACATATTGTTAACTGTACCACATGTTAGAGGCACCCCACATATTGTTAACTGTACCACATCTTAGAGACCCCCACATATTTTTAACTGTACCACATGTTAGAGGCCTCCACTAATTGTTAACTGTACCACATGTTAGAGGCACCCCACATATTGTTAACTGTACCACATGTTAGAGGCACCCCACATATTGTTAACTGTACCACATCTTAGAGACCCCCACATATTGTTAACTGTACCACATCTTAGAGGCCCCCACATATTGTTAACTGTACCACATGTTAGAGGCCCCCCACATATTGTTAACTGTACCACATCTTAGAGGCTCCCCACATATTGTTAACTGTACCACATCTTAGAGGCTCCCCACATATTGTTAACTGTACCACATGTTAGAGGCCCCCACATATTGTTAACTGTACCACATGTTAGAGGCCCCCCACATATTGTTAACTGTACCACATGTTAGAGGCCCCCCACATATTGTTAACTGTACCACATGTTAGAGGCCCCCACATATTGTTAACTGTACCACATCTTAGAGGCCCCCCACATATTGTTAACTGTACCACATGTTAGAGGCCCCCCACATATTGTTAACTGTACCACATGTTAGAGGCCTCCACTTATTGTTAACTGTACCACATTTTAGAGGCCTCCACAAGGAGTTAACATATACCACATCTTGTGTTTGGCTCTGATTTCTTCTTCTTCTTAGCATTCACTGGTTATAAACTCTGGCAGAAAGTTACAGTTGTTTGTCCACTTCTGAATTTTGGTATTGTTCCATTACTTGAGTTTTGTATGGACATCTATTTTGCAGATTTTGCATAAATGTATGCAAACTATTGATTCCTCACCTTTCAGGCAGATGGAAGAAACTCCTCTGTTTAGTGACCTTTTATGGCATGCTTGTTATGGGTTCTGTGGGTCTATCTCCCCCCCCCCCCCCTCTCCTGAAAATAGAGCCCTAGAACCCACACAGGAAAGATTAGTGACAATTTGATGTTTACATTTTTAACCAAAATTTTAATTAACCTATGCTTCTGTCCAGAACATAACAGGTTGAGATCGAAATAAGACAATTCCCTGTGTAAGTTCCACGGGATCCCATTGTGGGGAAAACAAGAATAGACCTAATGCCTGCCCAAAAACATGTTGTAAGAAAGAGTAAACTAATTGGGAGCTTCCTTTGAAGTTGGAGTACATCTGCTTGAGAGGCAAGGAACCTACAGTCTGCATGCAAATAACTCAAACCTGTGAAACAGATGTACACACAACACTCAGTTTCTGGAACAGGACTAGAGTCCAGAAGTAGACGAACAACCAGAACTTTTCCACCTGAGTTTACAGCCGGCGAACGCGAAAAAGAAGAATAAGACAATGTAATGAAAAAATAAAAATTTATAAAATAAGCTTTTATTTAAAATTATACACAAATTAATGCACTGAAAACGTCTCAAGGAGACATTCATTATGACAATGGCAAATGACCTACTTTTGTTCTGTGAGGGAAAGGTGAGGAACTGAGGTGGTCACCTAATGTCAAAATACTGTCGACCATTCCTCATTATAAATTTTTTTGTTCCACAGCTGAAAAAGAATGCACCATCTCGAATCATCAACGTCATATCTGATACTTATGTCCGAGGAAAAATTGACTTTGATGATCTGGCTTTGAACAAAGGATACAGTGTGTATGGAGCTTACACCAGGTCCAAACTGGCACAGGTCATGTTTATGCTGGAGTGTCACCGTCGTCTGTTCAGCAGCTGCGTCTGGTCTTTTGGAGTTCACCCTGGTGAGTCTCTTGCTACCAATATTAACTAGTTCCACACCAGTCTTATCCTGTTGCTGTACTTGTTTTAATTAGTTGATTGATCTGAGTCTTAGTCGAGGTTTCAACTTCAAATTAGTAACCATGGAAATGAGACGTCTGAGAAAGGCTGTCGGAGTGACCAGAAGAGATAAAATCAGGGATGAGGTCATATGAGATAAATTCGGTACAGAACCAATTCTAAATTGCATACAAAGAAAGCAAATTAAATGTTTTGCCCACTTGGAGAGAATGCCTCCTGATGCTATACAATACAAGAAATATACCAAAAGAAGAGAGGGACGTAAAGCAAGAGGTAGACCAAAAACAATATGGCAAGATAACATCAGATAAACCTACAGCACCACGATGTGTCTATGGTCAAAGCAGACAGAAGAGCACGAAGCAAGATTTTATATCTCTCTCGACACCTGAAGCGGTAACTGAGGACGTAAAGAATAGATGAAGAACTAGATTATAAAGCATTTAACTAAGTGTATCAATTGTAAATAGTTATATGCCAATCTTTGCTCTTTATGCTGGTCTAAGCTAAATATATATATATATTATACCATATATATATATATATATATATAGATATATATATATATATATATATATATATATATATATATATATATATATATTATATATATATATATATATATATATTTTTAAATTTAATTACATGTAATAATGATCTTTTGCACTGGAAATTAGAAAATGAGTTCTTGCATGCTATATAGAAACAGTTTTAACAAATGGCTGTGAATCCCAGACAGTTAGTAAACAAGCCAGAAAGTATAGTGAGGTCTCAGATAATGTCGTTTTATGAAAGAATTCTTAAAATTCCTCGACAGCTTAGAATACGTAAACCAGATGTTTTGTCAGAGGTTAGGACCCAAAAAAACTGAACTGAAACATTCGGAATAGGCAGTCACTATTTGTTGGCCACATCACGAGAAGAGGGAAACTGGTACATGTTGTGACAACTGGAAAGATTTATGGAAAGGGAGATGGAGGAAGACAAGAAGAGAGGATTTTCAGCTGGTTTTTGTCATGGTATGAAAAAATTTAGATAAAATGGTTTGGCCATCTGATGAGAATGCACGGGTAGCAACTGCCACAGAGAGCCACACCAAATAAATAAAATTAACACAAAGCAAGAGAAAAACCATGCCCAAAAAAAAAATGGAATGATGGCATCAAAAACAGATGAAAGAAATAAAGAGCAACCTGCTTATATACTGAATTAAAAATATTACACAGAAGATGCTTACATTTCCATTCAGAACTTTGATGAGGTAACTGAAGGTATATAGGATTTCCAATGTGGGTTCTATGGCCCCATTATGGGGAGAACAAGAATAGACCCACTGCCTTCCCATCAAGCATGTCATAGGAATTGACTAACTAGGGGCATCCTTCGAGTCAGGGTACATCTGCCTAAGAGCCAAGGAAGCAAAAGTCTGCATACAAATAAGCCTGATCTGTAAAACAGATGTGCATGCAACTCAGGTTCTGATACAAGACTAAAGTCAAGAGGCTGATGAACAACCAGAACTTTCTGCCCTGAGTTTACAGCAAGGGAATGCAAAGAAGAAGGTGATGATGAAGAAGAATGGGAGGATCTAGGCACAAAAACTGATACAAACTGTCTGACATAGCAAGACATGGAGAAGTATACATGTGTGTGTCAAATGGCAAAACAATTGATGATGATGACGACGACTAATTATTTCTATCCTAGACATCTTATTTCTTCCGTTTGCATTCATCAGGGGCCTGCAATACTGAACTACTGAGGAACTACCCTGGAATGATGGGTAATATCTTGAGGGTCATTTCCAGGGTCATGTTTAAGTCACCAGAGGATGGCTGTCAGACGATTGTGTACTGTGCTGTTTCTGATGGACTGCGGGAGTTCTCAGGTGGGTGGGATTTTGTGTTCATCATTAGTTACATTTTAGTAGAAACCAAGTGACTGGGACAGGCTTTTTTTCTGGACATTCCCTGTGAGGGTTTCATGGACTAGTTTGGTATCTGTGTGTTGGAGGAAAGAGGGAAGGGGGGGGGGGCTTCCCACAACAAGCATGCAGTGAAAGGCAAATAGTTAGGGGTTTCTCCGAAATCAGAGTGCATCTGCCTAAGAGGTGAGGAACCAACAGCCTGCATACAGGTATGTAAGATCTGAAAAATGGATGTGAGCTCAAAACTCGAGTTCTTGAACAAGATTTAAGTGCAGAAGGGAGCAAACAACCAAAACTTTCTACCAGAATGTGAAGAAATTCCAGGCATATGAGTTTTACCTTCTCTTTAGAGTTTAACAAAGCAGACCGAATGAGGGTTACATGCTGCCTGGCAATACATGGTTGGACAATGTCCGGGCTTTGGGCTATGGAGAAGAGGAACTCCTGGCCTTAATAGGTCTTGGATCTAAAGGAGTCAAAAGTCATTGCATCCGGTTTTATCTCATATGGCTCAGTCTCACTGCGCAAAACAGCTAGCCACCTGCCTAGAGCACCCTGCAGAGCATGAACTCCGTAGTTCAGGTAAAGATTCGTAGGGGTCTCTGTAAAAGTTGCACTCATAAACTGAGGGCAAAATACTTAAATGAACCCATGACCTTCATTGCACGAGGCAAATGGCTTGACCTATTCGCCATGGAGCCGCCTAGCTGTCATCATCATGGGTTTTGAGTCCATATAGCACAAATAAAATGAGTACCAGGAAATATTTTGGCGAAGTCATGCCAAGAAATGAAAGCGTACAACATAAAAGTAGAAACACTGAGAGGTAGGGGATGATCGAGAAGAAAATGGATTGAAGGAGTCACTGATACCATGAGACTCCACAACTTTACTGTATACAGGGCAACAGAGCATGTTCTAGCTTGGTTACTGATCATCTGTTAACCTGCAACAGGCATGCTTCGTTCAGAGTTGCAAGCATCACTTCAGAGGTCCCTGGTAGTTAGCATCCTTTGGATATTTTCGCCAGGTCAAGCCAGTGTGTTGGGAAATGAGCAGGCAGATAGACTAGCTGGCTCTGCACCACTTGGTGGTAAACTGATGTATGACAAGTTAGATATTGTTAGGACCCTTTAAGAGCGAGTGAACAGTGCGGAGATCCAGATGGATCATTACGGTCTAAAGAGAATGGCGCTATGAGGAGTTACCAGGGGATCTAGCTGATAATCAACACTCAGGGAAAGGATGATCAGACAGTTACTGGTACCATCAGAATTGGAACTCTTCGCTAGCTGCTGAAGATGGGGATTGAGCAGCGCTGTGATGTAGATTTTTAATTCAATATTCAACATTTTGTTATCCTGCAACGTCTAGAGGCACAAAGCACAAAATATAGAAAAAAGAAAGAAATAATACCTAATGGCATGATATTTACCTTATGACCCATATAGTAAGTAAAAAAAGTAAAGGACCCTTTTCCATGCCTTTAGGCGTATAGGGCATATAGGGCTAGACCTATATTTTTATAGACCAATTGGCACAAGATGGGTGATGTGGTCAGCATCACGCCGGGACCCATATAGTACAATACATTTTAAAAATCCTAGGGCCACATCATGAGAAGAGGGAAACTGGAATATGTTGTGACAGCTGGAAAGATTTATGGAAAGAGAGATGAAGGAATACAAGGAGAGAAGAGTTTTGGCAGCTTTTTGTCATGGTATGGAAGAACTGATAACTGAGGCAAGAAGCACATGCCAAAATAGTTTTCTGCTAAGTTGAGAATCAAAATCATACTGTTTGGGACAAATTCCCATAAGCTGTCTCTCGTAATCTTCAGCAGCCAGGGCAGAGTTCCAGTTCTGAAGGTACCAGTAGCAGATTGATTGTATGTCTGTCTTGCCATTCACCTGAATGCTGAACGTTGGTCAATCCTCTGGTCACTTCCACCTGCACCATTCTCTCTAAACCATAATGATCTGTTTGTGCCTCTGCACTGTTCACTCATCTCCAACATGTTTTGACCACATCTAGCTTGTCATGCATCAGTTCACCACCAGGTGGTGAAAAACCAGCCAGTCTGTCTGCCTTTTGATTTCCAAACACACCTGAATTATCTATAAAAATTTCAGGATGCTAACTACCCAGGGGAAAGTCGCCCTGGCATAGCGGCTAGACCCTCCCGTGCTGATCGGAAGGTCGGGGGTTCGCTTCCTGGCAAAGCCAGACTTTTTTCAAAAATGACGTTGACTCCCAGGTCTACCCCGCCTTAAGTGGGTACCAGGTGAAGTCCCGGGAAGTAAAGGCAGCCAGTGTGATGCTGACCACATCAACTATTTTGTGCCGATTGGTCTAAAAAAATATAGGTCTAGCCCTATACACCTTAAGGCGTAGAAAAAGGACTGAGAACTACCAAGGATCTCTAAAGCGATGCTTGCCACTCTGCACTGAGCAAATCTTTTTCAGCCTTTCTCATCATGCTTCTTGAGTCTGTTAGGTCAAAACCTGTGTGTGCAGCCGGTTCTCAAGCCGAAATAAAGCTACAGTGACTGCCTCAACTTCCACTGTCAAACTAGATGTTGCAATATCCGTGTCCGGATTTTTTGCACTAAAAGTTATCCATTCACTTTTGCAGTTACCTTCAATGCACTCCTGCCTCTCAACACAGAGCCATATCTGTCGTAGATAATCACATCACCTGAGTGAGAATTGTTTTTATTGCTTTTTAAAAAAAAATATTGAGACAAAATTTCTTCTTCATCTGTGTGTGCCATTAAAAAGGTGATTGCAACTCTATGTTGTGGTTTACAGCTAGGCTGAGATATCTGCACCTTTCTGCCCAACACATCCTTTTTCAGCAAACCCTTAATAAGCTACTTTTTATGGCATGATTACTAAGGGGCAGTTTAAAAAGTTAGTTGCGTATCCTTTACAGGACGTTGCAGAACCAACCCCAGCATTTTTTGGCTGTTTTGGTTTTTCTAGGCAAATTGTAAGTTCAGTAGTTTGCCATTGCTTATGAACTATCAGCTCTTGGTACCACTGTCAAAACCAACACAAGACAAAGCGTCTGCAGTTAGGATCAAACCAGAATTGGCTCTGTTCTTTTTCTTCCAAAGTAGACAGAGGCCGACCTCCCTAAAAGTGAATACATGACACTGAAATTGCATTGGTTGTGAAAGCACACAGGGCTGGAGAACTGGCTAGAGAAAAAGACTTTCAGGTGTGCTGTGAAGAGAGCGCTGTTCGGTAAAGGTGCTGCTGATTGATAATTCTTCTTCTTATTCTTCTTTTGTTGTCTCACTGATACCAGGCTGTAGTCCAGTGTCATGGTTTTGTTGTCTCACTGATACCAGGTTGTAGCCCAGTGTTGTGGTTTTGTTGTCTCAATGATACCAGGTTGTAGCCCAGTGTCATGGTTTTGTTGTCTCACTGATACCAGTTTGTAGCCCAGTGTCATGGTTTTGTCGTCTCACTGATACCAGGTTGTAGCCAAGTGTTGTGGTTTTGTTATCTCACTGATACCAAGTTGCAGCCCTGTGTTGTGGTTTTCTGTATTTGTCTTGCGCTTCTCGGGTGGCTTGAGTGGTAAATTTGTTCATCTTTTTGCAGGTTTCAGCTACACCGTTTACCCTTCTCTTTCTAGGTCTTCCTCTCGCCTTCCTACCAGATGTTCTGCTCTAAAAGTGATTGAATGATTAACCTTTGATAATTTCCAGGTTTTCTAAACATCAGAATGCCCCCAATCTGTCTTGAATTTTATCATCCACAGGAAAGATTTTCTCCAACTGCAAGGCCCTGAAACCAAGCGACAAGGTGAAAGACAAGGATGTTGCTAAGAAACTATGGAATGTCAGTGCCCAGTTGTGCGGATTCAAAGATGAAACCCCACCAGAAGAAGCAGCAGCACCGGCACCAAGCACTGAAGAGAAGAAGGAGCAGTAACGATGCAAACAGGCAATGGAAATGCCATATGTGCCTTCCAACTATAGTAATTACTGACAGGAAGAGAGAGAGAGAGAAATACCAATTGTGAGCAACATTAGAAAGTCTGGAAGTGAAAGATCTGATATGTGTACAGTTTTATTTCAAAGTCCCTGCATCGTTTTTGCTTTGAATTGAACATTGTATAGTTCTTTTAGATATTTAGTACACTAGTACCTACATTTTACACACCCTTTTTAACAGACATCAGAAGTAGAAGATAAAATCTGGAACAGCCAAACTAACATTTTTTTTATTTCCAAGTTTAAAACATGGGCTGCTATCACCCTATGTTGTTTTTCTTTGTCCATCTAATGATCAATGATTATGAGTATGAAGGTGGCTGATTAGTCCAGTATGCCTGGAAAGTTTTTGAGCAGTGCGAACAACAGATGGAAGCCGCAGTAAGTGTGGGATTAGTGATACAGTTCTTTCTAGTCTGCCTCCGTTTCTCTGCCTGTGCAACCTCCGCTGACTGGCAGGCCGATGCACCATGCCTGAGGGACGTATACCATCCAGAATGGTTTTGCGCAGCAGCCTTCCAAATCGCTGTGTTGATGCCAAAAGAATTGATAGCAGTCTTGAGAGTGTCCTGATAGTGTTTTTTCCGTCCTCCCTGGAACCTCTGCCCTATACTACCAGTATGGTCTCTCACAAAAAACTAAAAAAGGACATTATTGTTTAGGATCAAAATTCACAGAAGATGGAGATGGTAAATCGGATGAAGAGACAACATCTGATGCAGTCAAGTAAACCAAGAATTGAGACAGCTAGCTCCTCTCTTACAGCATAAGACAATGCCGATCAGCACAAAGAGACATCTTACACATAGCATATCCACTCCCAGCCTGTGCTATCAGTGCCAGACATGTAAGCATGAAAATAAGATGTCTTGAGAAGGCTGTAGGAGTGACCAGAAGGGATCAAATCAGGAATAAAGTCACAAAAGATAAAAGTAGGCACACAAGCCATTCTAATTTACACACAAAGTTGGCAAATCAAATGGCTTGCCCCTTTGGAAAGATGCCTTGTGATGCCTAAGTATACAAGGCTAAAAGAGGAGATGGACATGGAGCACAAGGTAGACCAAGAACAAGATGGAATGATCTCATCATAGAAACTCTACAACAGCCCGATATGTTTCTGACAGAGGCAGCCAGAAGAGCAACAAGCAAAACATTATATCTCCCTTGACAGAAACAATAAAAGAGGAAGTGAAGAAGAAGCTGATATTGTCAAATCTGATTTTAAAAAAAAGGTAAAAGGTAAAGGTAAAGTCGGGAGATGTGAACCAGCGTCACTGCACACGGTTATAAACCATACGTGCTCTGCCACCAATATGGACAGCTGATAAGAAACTATCCATCTGTGTCGCCATCCGCACGTTACTCCGTAGCTACAGTGACGTTCCTCCATTTACCCCAGAGTGTTAACTCTGGTAGCCACTTCCTAAACGCTGGGTGAACTCCGGAAACCGTCCAGTTTCGAACACCGGCCATGGGCTGCAGCAAGTCACAACTGGTTTTGAAAGCGAGTCTCCTATCGACTGCACCAAAGTGGCCCCAAACTGATTTTAAAATGTAATAGTTCAAATGATTATATTTACAGTGTACATGTATTTTGCATTGTCACTTGGCCGTACTATTCAAAGCACAAATTTTCTTAGGAAGCAGAACATATCTTGGAAAGTAAATCTGGCGACCATGATACTGTCTGCATCACATACAGAGCCAGCACAATACACCTGAAGAGTTTGAAATAGACCTTTTATGTTTTTCTGTTTTATAACATTGAATTTGTTTGCTGTATGTTCCTGTGTGATTAGTTTTTGGTTTTAGTTGTGATTTGATGTTGTATTAATGGAAAATTTTAAACTGCTTTTTTTATTATTATTTTTTAATAAATAATGAAAAAATTGTGTTTTTGGTATTTTAAAACTCATACACAGCATGTTTAATCTGCTTTTTTTTTTTTTAATTTTTTTAAATAACTAAAAACAATTTTAAACATTTTTTTTAGACACTGAGTCAGATTTAATAAGTCTGATGTCAGAATTTAAAGCCGTGTTCTAATTCTTCATTCATTCATAAAAGATGGTTGGCCTGTTGTGGTGTAACTCACAGTTCAGCGTGATATATGCACTTTTTGCTCCAACACTTTAAAAAAAATAGGGGCTTTTTTTTTTAATTATCCAAAAGTAAAACCTTGTTAATATAAACTTTCTTAAGAAGAACACCTTGGTTAACATGAATACAATTTCTGTCCCAGCAGGCACGAATTGTGTGGAAGTGTCCTCTCTATGACTACCAAAGGGGCTGCGTGGTCTCGAGGCATGGTGTCCACCTCAAGTGCTAAAGGTTCTGGGTTCAACCCCCTGTAAGGGCTGGGATTTTTTCACGTGGATTTGGACTTCTAGTAATTCCCCTGGTCTCTGGGTAGTGAGATCGGACGCCCGTGTGTATTGTTGCGCACGTACACAATTCCTTGGCAGTTGGAAATCTAAAAAAGTACACTCAAGTGCAGATTGGAAGGTTGTGGGTTGACTCCCTGGTGGAGCTGGACTTTTTTTAAATAAATGACTAACTCCCAGGTCAACCCAGCCTTGAGTGGGTACTGAGTGCAGTCACAGCTGATAATAGTGACATGTTTCTTCTTAGTTGCAAATGGCTGACCTATGGATCGTGCCGACATTGTTAATGCCCATAGAGAGACAGTAGATTTAGAGGATTTTGACAGCAGCATGTCCGTACCACAGCTAAGTGAGAACTAGGAGTAAAGATAAAGACATGCAGGCATGAGAAGCACACCGGCTGTACAAGAAGTTTTGTTAATTAGCACAGGACTGTCATTCTTCTTCTTCGTGTTCACTGGCTGTAAACTCTGGTGGAAAGTTCTGGTTGTTCATCCACTTCTGGACTGCAGTCCTGTTTCAAAACCTGAGTGTGTGTTGTGTGTGCATCCGTTTTACAGATCTGACCAATTTGTATGCAGACTGCTGGTTCCTTGCCTCTCAGGCAAATACACTCTGACTTCAAAGAAAGCTCCCAATTAGCTGACTCTTACAACATGTTTTTGGGTAGGCAGTGGGTCTATTCTTGTTTGCTCCCACAACGAACACCGGAACCCACACGGGAAACTGTATTTTTAACTGTGGGAAGCCGAAGGGGAAGATCTGAACACTTATGGACATGTTCAGAGTATCATAAAGATAACCCTACCGTTAATAGTCTCTGGTTAGCACCATTTTTTTAAATGCAAATTTTGATTTTTAGCCCCTTAGAATTTGTGTAGTAGTAGTACATTTTACCCCACTAGGACATCACACAAGCGATAAACACCCGTTGACACGAAGTGCCACCATGTGGATAAGGATCACCCGTGGAGAGGTCCCAGAAACCGCGTTCAGCCATTAGACCATATTTATGGCCAGGCTATATTGCTGCCCCTGGCAAAAGCCATGGCAGGGCTTCAAAATAATGAAAAATTGCATCCCACAAGAAGATGACAGGTTACAGGCAGAATTTGTGTTAACGAGGTTTAACTGTATTTATTTAACAGTGATGCCCTTTTTTCTGCCTCACAAATGTTACTTCCTTGCATAGATAACAAAAGTTGTCTGCACCAGTAACAGACTTTCAAGGCACCCCTACTGCTAAAGCAAAGCTGCAGGAATGAAACTGCCTGTTTACACTCTGTGAGTATCTGGGGGGGTTGTGTGGTCTCGAGGCATGGCGTCCCTCTGCCTCGAGCGCTGGAGGCCCCGGCGTAGGCTGGGATCTTTTTCACGTGGACTTTTAGTAATTTCCCCTGGTCTCTGGATATTAAGATCGGATGGCCATGTGCATTGCTGCACGCGTAAAAAAAATCCCTTGGCAGATGGAAATTGAAAAGAATAGCCTAACAGTGCTGCCTGGGCAAAATTTGGAGTTTAAAATCTACCCAAATTATTTCAGGAAACTCGAGGGTGCTACAGAGCATGTGCACTAGGTTGAGATTCATCAGACTCAGGCTTAAGTCAAAAGTAGAATTGAGCACTTATGGGTTACTAACCTTGTGCCATGATGTTGATCCCTTGTTTAAACCTCAAACTCTGAGAGTCTGACCTTTACAGAATGTGACAAGAGCTGCGGTAGCATCATGACTACTGGCCCAAAGGGTCTTGAGGTTGAATCTGCATTTTTTTTTTTTAAAAATCACTGACTTGCCTGCTAGGTTGATCAACTCTAAAATGAGTACCAGGAGATGTTATGGGAAGTAAAGGTGTCTGGTGTGATTCTGTCCCGGCCACCCACTGAGAGAACCAATTAGTCTAAAAACTCTGGAGTCTAGCACAATATGCCTAATGACATGAACAGTTTCCTTTACATGTCTTCTTATTCTTCTTCTGAGCTCTCACCTGCTGTAAACTCCGGCTGAAAGTTCCGGGTTGTTCATCCACTCCTAGACTTTGGTCTTGATTCAGAACTCGAGTTTTGCATGCACAGCCATTTTCCATATCTGGCTTATCTGTATTCAGACTGTTGGTTCCTTGCCTCTCAAGCAGATGCACCCTGACCTTGAAAGGGGTGCCCCTAATTAGCTGTCTCCTATGACATGCTTGTTGGGGGTTGGGGGGTGAGGAGTGAAAAGGGATACAGTAAAATAAAGGACCCTTTTCCACGCCTTCAGGTGTAGTGGACAATGAGGCCTAGACCTATATTCTGTAACCAATCGGCACAGTGGGTGATGTGGTCAGCATCGGGCAGGGCGCCTTTACTTCCCAGGATTTTACCTGGTACCCTCGAAAGGCTGGATCTACCTAGGAGCCACGGTCATTTTGGATAAAAACAAAGGGAGTTTTTATTTTAAAGAAAAAACTGAATACAAATACAAACCATCAATTAAATATTCAGATTTAATTTCAGCACATAAATGGTTGCTACCATAAACTTCCAATCAGCACATTTTTCAAGATTTGGCACCAACTCCATTGTTTGTCAAAATAAAAGGAAACATTCTCGCCTTCAGTCAATATGGCCGCCCCAGAGTCCTGTACTCCGCTGTCCATGTTGATATAACGATGTAAATCCCTTCACCGCAAAAGTTCATTCTTCAAGGTTTCTGACCATGCATTAATTATCTACTGTCCAATAGGTGAGGAAAGCCAAGCAGTCAATGAATTAAGAATAAGGGCGATGCAGTGAGATAAGCGGCCTTGTGATCCATTCATACCAGTAGAGGTTATACTCTGAAAAGACAAGAAAACCAGTCTTAAAATGTATCAAAGTTTTCACTCTGCATAAGGTTTTCCTTCTTCTGTGTTTATCTTTAAAAGGGCAGCTGGTACATTGTGTTGTGGTTTACAGCTAGGCTTTATCACATTCACCAGCTGCAAACTCCAGCAGAAAGTTCTGGTTGTTCGTCTAACCTTCTGAACTTGGTCTTGTTCCAGAATTTGAGTTTTGCATGCACATCCAATTTACAGATCTGGCTTATCTGTATGCAGACCATTGGTTCCTCCCACTTCGAAGGAAACCATTTAATTATTCTAGTTTAATGACATGCTTGTTAGGGAAGCTGTGTGGTCTGTTCTCCCCTCCTCCACCATCCACACATGAAAGCTAGGCTGTGATATCTGCACGAGCTCAACACAGATTTCAGCAAATCTTAATGAGTTAATTTTAAGAGGCCACTGATTCCCCCCCCCTCCCCAAATCTGCAAATGGGGCCACTCAGGGTAACATAGGGTTCACATCAGTTCTGTGTATGAAATGCCTTACCTCTATATCATTCCAATTTGACAAAGGTACTATATCTTGCAAAAAATGCACACACACAAAAACCCCAAAAAAAATCACAATTGCAAAAAATAACTACGTGTGAAATGCGATGTCTCCGAAGAGTCACCACCAATACACGAAGAGACAAAGTCACAAACGTCAGCATTAGAGACAAAGTTGGAACAAGAGCATGCATGGAACATATTGAAAGACAGAGAATGAAGTGGTTTGGTCATTTAGTAAGAATGCACCCGGATCAGATTGCCTATAAGGCTTTTTACAATAGAACTTCGGGAAGAAAGGCCAGAGGAAGACCCAGGAAAAAAATGGATAGATGGAGTAGCTGAATACGGCCAGAAGATCCAGAAAACTGTCACTCAAATCAGCGAGAGGCACAAAACCAATATTTTAAACCACGACACTGGGCTGCAACCCGGTAAAAGTGAAGAAGACAAAAGATAGATAGACTATTTCTTGAAGTCTAAACTGATCCGACACTGATAAAATGCCACAACTTTAACACTGATGAATGATATCTTTGAAGCATACTGCTTGCACAGAGAATAGCTTCTACTACCACTTCTTTTTCTTTCGTTCACTGCAATGTTGTCTCTAGTATGAACTTCTTTTGTAATTCACTCAGCGACCCGTAGTAAAGTTTGACTTGTCCCGATGTTACTCTTGGCCAAAAGTTTTGCCTTGATATGTTGTATTTGGGACAGGTTTGGAGGACATGATCTGTTGTCTCAGGTGCCAGTCCACATGGCTGATTGCTTCTACTGAATTCTGACTTTACACAGATTCCCACAAATTTATTTAATTCTGACTACACAAAAATCCAAACACCTATAATTTATTCTAAAACACACAAATCCACACATCGATAATTCATTCCGACTACACAGATCCCTACACCTCTAATTCATTCTGACTACACATCAATTGCCCCACCTTTAATTCCATCTGACAATACCAAAACTCACATTTCTCATTTATTCTGAATACAAACAAACCCCCACACCTTTTATTTACTCTGACCACTCACAAATCCCCAAACATCTAATTCATTCTGAATACACACAACCCCCCCCCCCCAACCCCCCACGGACTACACAGAGATTCCGACATCTCTAAGCCCTGCCAGCACCTTCATATCTACTCTTTCCAACCAACACAGCAGCTCCACTCCTTATATACTTACTTCTTGATAATCTGCACAACATCTTCATCATTGAGAACATGCTCCTTGCCCACCCGCTGTGGGCAGTGTTTCACTGAAGATCCCCACACCAATGCACTGGGAAAGAAAAATGGCCAACGTGAAGTTAACATACCTCTACAAAAAGGCAATCCACTGCTACATCATATAACAGTTTTTGACTACATATTTATTGGAAGCTCAGGTTCGAGTCCTCGGTAAGGTTGAAGAGTGTTTCTTTCAGGGACAAAAATTAAGTCTGTGGCAACAGCACCAGCCATGAGGCTTTAAATTTTTAGGCTCAAAGACCCTTGAGGCCTACATCACAGAAATGGTAAATACAGACAGTAATGGCCGTTTGTTGTGTCTGTATGTCAGTGTGCAAATTCTAAAGACTCCTGAAAAAATGTATAACATTAAAACCACTGTTTTTATGCTGGAACCCCAAAGTATGGAAATGAACGCAGACCACAAAAACAAAAAAAACCCACACATACAGAGAAGTGAACTTGAGTAAAAAAAAACATAGAAAGAAGATGAAGAAAGCTCCACACGAAAGCAAAGAATAGGACTACATCGCACGAGCTGGTTGAGGGTCTTCATTCTTTTGAAGGATAAAGAGGAAGATATAAGTTTTTATTCTGTTTACTAATGAAGGTGTACAGCTGCAAACTCTTCTATTATTTTCTCTTTTCAAAACCCCCCTCTCCTTGTTTTTCCTTTTAAATTACCTGTTGCTGTCCCTCCATAAGATATGAACATCAAAGAAAACTGGCTGACAAAAAGCCTTCTCTCTCATACACTGAAATAATGTTTTCATTCAACACCAGCGTTTCAGAGACAGTAACTGATGGTTCTTGGAAGTAGAGGCAAAGTTGGACCAATATGACAGCAGATACAAAACTAAAGACATTCATTCTGGGCATGAAAATGCATGAACAAGGCAATTTGGCAAAGATTCTTAAGAAAAAAAAATATTTTTTAAGAAAACTTTCAACTCAGTTAAAATTAAAATCATCTGTCTGGTATTTTTCAAAAGAATCTTATCAGGCAACAACTTTTAAACTGAGTGGAAATATTTTTAAAAAATATAACCAACATCCCTAAGAGTCATTTTTAAAACTATGTTAGAGCTGAGTTGATTTAAGAACCGACATCACAGCACTCAGGGTATTCCCATAAGCATCCCGTCCCCATCTTCAGCAGCCAGTGCAAAGTTCTGATACTAATGGTGCCAGTAGCACTATGATTAAATGCCCGTCTTGCCTTTTCTCTGAGCATCTGCCAAAACCCCTCGTCACTCCCTGCTGCATCAATCTCACCAGATTGTGAGGATCCATCTGCTTCTCTAAACTCTACATGCTCTCCCACAAGGCATCAGTATTCCACCAAGTTGTGCAGAGCCGGCCAAGTCTGTCTGCCTGTTCATTTCCCAACACACTGGCGTTTCTCAGGGGAAAAATTCCAGACAATACTCACCTGTATAAAACTATGTAAGAAGAAAATGCAACCCTTCTTCTTCCTCTGGTTTGCTTTAAATGAGCGTCTGGCCCATTGCAATGTTTACAGTGAGGCTGTCACATCTACGCCTTTTAACCCACCACATACAATTTCAGCAAACCATTAGTTGCTTTTCACCATATGCTTGCAGGTTAATGGAACTGTATGTCTAACTCCCAAACCAACAATGACAACAACAAAACTGGGGCACTGCAACCCACACAGCAGCACAACCTTTTTAGTCAGCTGCAATGACCCCCGTGTGGGTTCCGGGGCCCTATTGTGGGGAAAACAAGAATAGACCCACTGCCTCCCCAAAAGCATGTCGTAAGAGTCGACTAACTGGGAAACTTCCTTTGAAGTCGGAGTGCATCTGCCTGAGAGGCGAGGAACCAACAGTCTGCATTCAATTGAATCAGATCTGTAAAACTGATGCACACACAACACTCATGTTCTGGAGCATGGCTGCAGTCCAGAAGTGGATGAACAACCAGAACTTTACGCCAGAGTGTACAGCTGGTGAACGCGAAGAAGAAGAAGAAGTTGCAATGAAACTTCATCTTCTTCTTCGCGTTCGCCAGATGTAAACTCTGGCAGAAAGTTCTGGTTGTTCATCCACTTCTGGACTGCAGTCCTGTTCCAGAACCTAAGTGTTGCGTGTGCATCCGTCTTACAGATCTGACTCATTTGTATGCAGACTGCTGGTTCCTTGCCTCTCAGGCAGATGCACACCGATTCTGAAGGAAGCTCCCAATTAGTCAACTCTTACGACACGCTTTTGGGTAGGCAGTTTTCTTTGTTTTCCCTGTAACAGGGCTCCGGAACACACAAGGGAGTTAGAATGAAACAACAAAAATCAGTATTGAAATAAAAAGAAAGCTCACATTTTGAATTCTCTAATAATGTTCCGATGCAGCTTGTTACAGAAATCCTCCACGGTGCTGTGGCCTTCCTTCAGCACGACCGGGGAAGAGTAGTCTGGCAGCTGACCTTTAGGCTTTGTATAACTGGAGACAGAGAAATCATCAATGAAGTTATAAGTAGAAGAAAAACAGAAAGAATATGCAGAAGTAAATTAACACAATGGGAGCTGTGGTGGCAAAGAGAAAAGACACAAAGGTCTTCGTCTGAATCTGCACCAAAACTTTTTTTTTAAATAAACCATTGGTTCCTGAATCGACTCAGCCAAAAGCAGGTACCAGGTAACGTCATGGAAGTAACGGTGGCAAGTATGATGACCACATTAGCCACCGAGGGCCAAATGGTCTAAAAATATATTTATCTACCATTATATACCCGACACGCCACAGATGTTCACTTCCTGTTATTGCTTCGGCTTTCGAGGGAGATTTTACTGTTTCGGCTGTCGAGGGGAATTTTACTGTTTCGGCTGTCGAGGGAGATTTACTGTTTCGGCTGTCGAGGGAGATTTTACTGTTTCGGCTGTCGAAGGAGATTTTACTGTTTCGGCTGTCGAGGGAGATATATAAAGGTTGTGCTTCTTGCTCTTCTGCCAGTCTCGACCACAGACACATCATGCTGTTGTAGAGTTTCTCTGATGTTACCTTCCCATCCTGTTCTTGCTCTATTTCATGCTCTTTGTCCTTTTCCTCTTTTAGTAAATGCCTTGCATGAAATTCTCTTTTTATTTTACTAAATTTACAAAAACACAGCCAAAAGATTAGAAAGTTAAACAGAAGTAAAAATTTAATGTGTGCTTATATACAATAGAGGACTCTGACAAAAGTCTTTATCAACAAATAAAACAATGAACTGATCAAGATCATAACAGTTGTCTTTACTTATCAGGAAATTGTCCACTACCCATTTTAGGCTAGATCCACTTGGAAGCACTAGTTCAATAATGAAACAATCTGTCCTGATGCATTTTTGCCCCCAAGACCTCAAAATCGGCGGTACCTTTCACTACAGATCAAAGGTACTTACCACACACTTACATTCCAACAAGCTATAAACACCACAGAGAACACCAGTACCCACCACACACTTACATTCTAACAAGCTATAAAGACCTTTTATAACACCAGTACCCACCACACACTTACACTTTAACAAGCTATAAAGACCTTTTATAACACCAGTACCCACCACACACTTACATTCTAACAAGCTATAAAGACCTTTTATAACACCAGTACCCACCACACACTTACATTCTAACAAGCTATAAACACCACAGAGAACACCAGTACCCACCATACACTTACATTCTAACAAGCTATAAAGACCTTTTATAACACCAGTACCCACCACACACTTACATTCTAACAAGCTATGAAGACCTTTTATAACACCAGTACCCACCATACACTTACATTCTAACAAGCTATGAAGACCACACATAACACCAGTACCCACCACACACTTACACTTTAACAAGCTATGAAGACCACACATAACACCAGTACCCACCACACACTTACACTTTAACAAGCTATGAAGACCACACAGAACACCAGTACCCACCACACACTTACACTCTAACAAGCTATGAAGACCACACATAACACCAGTACCCACCACACACTTACACTTTAACAAGCTATGAAGACCACACAGAACACCAGTACCCACCACACACTTACATTCTAACAAGCTATGAAGACCACACAGAACACCAGTACCCACCACACACTTACATTCTAACAAGCTATGAAGACCACACAGAACACCAGTACCCACCACACACTTACATTCTAACAAGCTATGAAGACCTTTTATAACACCAGTACCCACCACACACTTACACTTTAACAAGCTATGAAGACCACACAGAACACCAGTACCCACCACACACTTACACTCTAACAAGCTATGAAGACCACACATAACACCAGTACCCACCACACACTTACACTCTAACAAGCTATAAACACAACACAGAACACCAGTACCCACCACACACTTACACTCTAACAAGCTATAAACACAACTCAGAACACCAGTACCCACCACACAGAACCCCAGTACCCACCACACACTTACATTCTAACCAGCTTGAGGTACTCCCACATCTTCTCCAACAGGTCGTCAAAGTTCCACTTGTGATGGGCAGAGATGGGGACAGTGTGTGGAATCTTGTATATAATGTCCAGCTCCTGAAACAAATCCACATACATCAGATTAATAGCAAATACAACATTTTATACTTTATCAATATCCTACCCCCAGATGACGTCACAAAACAGTCCAACATTTTAGAGGGTGGTAAGACTGGGATTTCCAGCTTTATGATGTTTTAACAACCCCAAAACATCTAGAACTGGCTAACACTAACCCACCTACGTGAATCCCTAACACTAACACGACTGCGTGACATGGGAGTTAAGCATGGCGATGCACGTCTTTGTCGTCTTCGAGGCCGAGAAAGGAGACGATATAGCCAGCTTCTCATGGGGACAATTAGTAGAAGTACTTTGGAGTGGCTGCTGCTTCGGAGAACTGAGCATGCATGGGTTTGCCCAATGTGCAGTGACATCAATTGTGATAACAAAACATAAAATAACATCTTGTAGGGAGTTGGCAGTCCGAAACCCAAGTTCAATGTGTCTCCTTCGTGCCAAAGAACTGCATGGCTGTTGGGTGAACAGTTGTAAACGAAGGCAGTCATGTAGTTGTAGGGGCGACACCTGCTGGCGGATGTAATGTCCTAAGTCCCTTCGCCAGATAATAATGAGGGACTGCTGGGGTGACCGTTTATTAACCCTCATATAATGCTTCAGGTGAAAATGGACGCTAGGCACAGATATCTTTTTTTTATAGCCGTGGCAAAAAAATTAATTTTTTTCTGCCAGATGGTGGCCGTTCCATTTTTGCTCCATTTGTAGACTGGAAGAATATAGTTTCGTCGCCCAGCTTCTGAGTTGAGTGCATGGCGTGACACTGTGAGCTACGTGTATTTTTTTATTGGCACAGGAGCGGAGCAACTATGGGGTGACCCGTCTGCTATGAAGCTGAAACTAGGATTACCAGATTACCCCCTCCCACGAGAGTGCAGCCTAGATCCCACGACTGCATAGTCTATCTACCACCCCCTTAAGTATTAGACTGTCCCGTGACCTGTGGATTTCTCCTGTTTGGGGTAGAATATTAATAAAGCACCCAGGATTTGAGGAGCAGCGTGTCTACATACTAAGCATGAAAGGCACCCACAGACTTACAAGAAGTTTTGTTAACTAGCAAAGAACTGGCGCTATTAACCGCAGACTGTGTATGCTGAAGGAGGGATCTGAGCATCTATAGATGTATCTGGAGTGCTGTAAAGATATCCCAATTCATAACTTATAACAAATACAGTATATGGTAGCTTCAGACTCAGAAATGAATTATCTGAGAAGGGTTGTCCAAGCGACAAGAAAGGACAAAGTTCGCAATCAGACGATACATCAGGATCTTGAAACCCAGTCCTTACAAACTTGAGTGGATCAGTCACTTATGATGGTTTGGACATGTGTGCAGAATGCGAAAGAATCTGCCACATGGCAGGCAGGCATGGGAGGCCAAGAATTAGAAAAACAGACAACCATTGGGACTCAGGGTTTGCTGGAAAGACAACATCCGATAGTGGATTGGAATGGAACAAAGCCAAACAAACAAAAAAACTGTGGACAGAGAAGTCTGGTGATCTCTCTGGCAAATCTCTACACCACAGGGTAGAAAGTGTAAAAAATGAGTCTACATTTGCCTGTTGCACCAGTGGTGTGAAAAGAGTCCCTTCCTGTCTTCTTCTTCTCTGCGTCTTCTATTACTGCTTGGGGTGCCTAGGGAGATATACAAAGATTCTGCTTGTTGTTCTTTTGGATGCCTTGACCAGACATCTTGTGCCGTTATAGAGTTTCTCTGATGTTATCTTTCCATCTTGCTCTACATCCATCTCTGGCCAAAACAGTCACAGCAAAAACTGATCAGTTTACTGGTTTTAAACATACAGGATTAAGAAGTGACTAGACATGTGTATGTACTTCTTCATGTTCACCTGTTATAAATTCAGGTGGAAAGTTTTGTTCATCCACTTCTGGACTTTGGCTTTGTTCCAGGGCCTGAGTGTTGATGGCACATCTGTTTTACAGATCTGGCTTGTGTGCAGACTGCTGGCTCTTTGCCTTTCGGGCAGATGCACTCAGACCTTGAAGGAAATGCAGATTCTATCTATGTTGGCCCGGCTCCCAGCTGGAAAACCTGTGACGAAGATGACCGTGGGGGAGGTGCAGATAAAGTCTTGAACCATGTGAGCCCTGGTCTGCTTCTATATGTGGTTCAGCACCTCTGCATCATGGTTTATACAAATGTGTGGCTAGCATCATTCACACAATATGCACAATGGTGTGAAAAAAAGTGTCCTTGACTTTTTTAACTACAATGACAAGAGAGCTGCACAGAGGTTTAGTGTGAAACACTGACTGTAATAAGTAGTTTGTGTGTGGTTCTCGCTGTCTAGGTAGTATTCATGCGTGTGTGGTGGATGATCTTCTCACACGCTCCACGTTACACAACTGGCACAAGCCGACACCAATATGAGCTTACGAGACATGAATTTATTGACGTATTTACACTTACAACGAGAAACGTCCGGTCGGTGTCACAGTGAACAGCTCTCGTACCCAAACTCATGCAGCCTTTAACGAACAGTCTTCATCAGGCATTCAAGCAAAGTTGGATCCCATAGATTCACATTGATGTTTGGACATCTCACACGCTGGCATGGTCGATCTCGGCTTCACACTTCGTCGGCAGGTCTCCTTTCTCCACAGGCACTCACGTAGACATTCTCACATTCAGTCGCACGTCCTCTCACTCCAACAGCTCGACACAAACTAAACTTGACATTTTCCCGTGGCGACCTTGGGTCGCATCATCGTGGTCCCCGTGATAACTAGTGGTTAGTCACCTATCTCCAGATTCTCGTTTAATCCAAGTATCTGGACTATCTCGGTGTTTTAGGTCAGCTTTGGGCCTTCCCCCCAACCATCCTAAACTGGGTGAAAATATCCCCCATTACACTGACCAAACTGGGAAACTAGTCAATAGATAGCATTTCTGACCTGGTTTTGTCAACTTACCAGCCCAACAATGTAAGCAGCTATTGTGACTTCATCTTCTTAGTTTAAAAAAAAAATCTAAATGGCTTGTCAATTTACTCAGTTTAATGACCCCAGCAGTATAACAATGATCAGGTATGGTATGATGTGCATTTGAAATATTCCACATCGATAAGGAATAACATAATCCAGTGCTAACCATGAAGCAAAGGATCACAAACTATCTTCCACACCCCTCTTCCCCCCCTTCTCCATAGAAGATAAAACATATGTGAAAAATAGCGCCCATTTTCTTTAGATTTGTTGCAACTAATACGTTTTACTGAAGTTAAAAATGTGTACATTCCAGTGCTTGTATTGATTATTTTGATGCTATTGCGAACTTTTAATATTACTTGATGTGTGAATGAAATGATGTAAGAATGGAGGGAGACCTCGAAGGGCAGAATGTTAGACGGGCCTGCGTGCCCAATTCTTAACCCTTTAAAAATAAAGTTTGTTCGTTCGTTCGTTTGTTTGTTCATGCATCTTAACGACAGAAATGGAAACTGACGATGATCACCACCACCATCATCATGTATGACAAATAAATCAAACAGGAAGTACCAACCTCAACTGAAATCTGGTCAATCTTGTTGAGGAGGTAGATACAAGGGATGTAGACTCGGTTGCCCTCGATCACATCTATCAGATCCTCGGCTGTGGCATCGTACCTCAGGGTGATATCTGCATTGTGGATCTTGTACTCGTTGAGGATTGTCTTCACCAAGTCCTGATCAAGCTCCGACTGTGGCACCTGGAGAAAACACCACAAGGGACTCAAACAAAGGTGGTGATAATCCCTACAAACGGACTCAAACAAAGGTGGTGATAATCCCTACAATCGGTTCATCCGGATAAAGATTTCACAGCATTCAGGAAAAGCCCACATATTAGCTTCATCTCCCGACTAAAAACCCACAGAAGAGTCTCCATACTAATAGTATCTAATATCATCTGGTTAACTACTCGTCTTGAATTTCCCCCGAGCCTTGAATGGCGCCCACCGCTGCATCATTATCATTATCTCCAAGCACGGGTTTTTCATATCTTCCATTTAATTTGTTACCTCGTCCTACAGCCGATAAACCACCTCTGCCGTTTGAGGTTGCAAGTACACCCCCAAGTGGGGATAGTCCAGCCAAAATGTCTGCCTGCTCATTCCCAAACATTTTGTTAGAGAACTATATTACCAGGGCCGGCTTTGTGGTTAAGTCGAAATCTGGCAGAAAGTTCTGGTTGTTCCTCCATTTCTGGACTATGGTCTTGTTCCAGAACTTTAGTTTTGCATGCACATCTGTTTTACAGATCTGGCTTATCTGTATGCAGACTGTTGGTTCTGCACTCAGACAGATGCACTCTGACTGAGTGAAACACCCCCAGTTAACCACCTCTGACGATAGACTTATTACGGTGGCAGTGGGTCTATTCTTCCCCTCCCCCCTAACAATGCTTACAAAAAAAGCCAGATTTGTAAAATGTGTTAGCACTCAAAACTCTACTTCTGGAAAAAGACTTATAAAGAAGTGGATAAGCATGCAGAACTGTGCGCTGGACTTTATAGCTTATGAAGGTGAAGAAGAACAATTTGTGACAGTTTGAAAGGTTTATGAAAAAGAGATAGTGGGAGACAATCAGAGAAGCTTTTTTCAGTGGCGAGAAAAGGCAAACCAATTCATGCTGGTGAAGACATTAACCTCCCAGGTAACTCAGCAAGACACTTGATTAAAAATTCTACTGTGACAATTTGCAAACAGTCTGTGCTAATACTGTGGCTAGATGCTTGCCTGCCAGGTTCTATTCCACAATTAAGATGATTTTCACCTAGACTCCCAGGCCGACCCAGTCTATCTGTACAAGGAAAGTCTTGGGAAATAAAGGTGCTCAGATTGGTGTTTCTTACCACATGCCACACCTGAGTGCCAATTTGCCTATAAAACCATGGGTCTTGCAGAGCTTTTTTCTCTCTAGAAACAAAGGTGCCGGTACTCATCTAAAAGTGTCTTTAAAAAGGTGTTGGCACTCACTGCAATGTGTCTATGTCATCAGCATTGAAAACTATCAAGCCTTAAAAAAAACTCTGCCAATGTTACAACCAGAAAAAAGACCCAAGTCTATCAACAAATTTTTTTTAATTTGTTAATGGCAAGAAGATGCTCGAATTTAATTGCTACAGGCACTTACCAAAGTTGACAGGTTCAAACCTCCCTTATCTTTCCTCTTAAACTGAATATTCGGAGGCTCCTTGTTGAGTCTGATGCCGAACCCCTCCAGCTCCCTCTCGATGATACGCTTGTGCTGTAATGGTTTTAGAACATCCAGCACGATGAAGATAAGGCTGCATGTCCTGGCAACTGAAGGAGAGCAACAACGAAAGGTGAAATAACTCGGATAATTTTCAATTTTTTTTTATTTCTATCCTGGCACAACGGTTAAGAACACTGTACTCCCATGTGGGAGACCCAGGTTCAAATTCTCAGTAGTGGAACAGTGATTTCAGTCATCGGAGCGAGGGAAAGTTACAACTATTGTGATGTGCATAAGGAGTGACTCCGCACCTCACCTTGGGCACCAGCAGGCTCTACAGCGTTTGATTGATCCTCATGCAAGACTCCTGCCGCATGTCCCCATCTTGTGCTATGGATCATTACTGGTTGTGCGTCCACTTCTGGACTTTTGGTCTTTTTTTAGAACTTTCAAGTTTTGCATACACATCCAGTTTACAGATCCAGCTTCTCACTTGTCACGCAGATGCACTCAAACTTAGAAGGAAAACCTGATTAACTGACTCTTATGTCTAATTTGTTCGAGGTTTTTTTTGGGGGGGGGGGGGGGGGTGTGTTGGGGGTTTTTTTAAAAGCCTATAACAGATATATATATATATATATATATATATATATATATATATATATATATATATATATATATATATATATATATATATATTAGTAATTTAGCTGCAATAAAATTCACACCAAAATTGGGATCTTAAACTATTGAAAGAATGATAACATTACATAGAAGTAAAAAGAAAGTAAAGCATCCTTTTCCACACTGTGATGAGGTGCTTTGCATGGTCTCCACGATTACATTGTGTCAAGCAGAAAGTCCGTGCAACAAGTGACAGCACGAGATACTTGGGGCTGGTCGAGTAAGCGAGGGGAAGCCCGAGCTAGACTCGTGGTGAGTTGGTTACCAGAAGTTGTAGAAGACAGTTGTGTTAATAGAAGATGTAGGTCTTATGTCGCACGTATGACCAGTATTTAAATATGTCGCAAGCGATGCAAGTGTGAATAATTGTTGGAGCATGTTGAATAAATGTCCCAAAATAAACTGATAGCATGTACAAAGAAGCCGAGTGACGTTTGTGTTATCAACCCTAGACGTTAGAGCAGTGCGAATTATGTGTCATCAACCCTAGACGTTAGAGCAGTGCGAATTAATCATCTAGAGAGTGAGCCATGGCGAGAGCAGATACGTCGTAAGATAAGGTATACGTCAAGATACATTCCAAGCGTCACGACTGATTCCAAGTCAAGCCACGACTCATTTCACACATCTTTAGGGGTTTAGGGCATATAGGGCTAGATCTATATTTTATTAACCCATCAGCACAAGATGGGTGATGTGGTCAGCATCATGCCGGCCGCCTTTACTTCCAGGGACTGCACCTGGCACCACTCAAGGCTGGGTCAACCTGGGAGCCAAGGTCATTTTTTTAAAAAGTCTGGCTCTGCCAGGGAGCGAAACCGTGATCTAGCGATGACAACTGCCGTAAAATTACACACAGTTGCCAAAAACACACAAGCGTACTCACCAGCAATGACTTGCTTGCCCCTGCCCTTGCCATCCTTAGCTCCTTCAATGATACCAGGCAAATCCAGCAGCTGTTGTTCAAAAGAAAGCATACAGAATACCACTGTCAACTAGTCAGTCAGTCAGTTCAACGGTCAATTATCTTCATCTTCACCACTAAAGTGCTCGGATCCCATCTTCAGTACATTTTCAGCATGTGGTGACTAGTTCAGGGTTGGTTTACTATTCTTCTTTGGCTACCTGTATAGTGTTCCATGTCCGGGAATGCCCCCTTGGGTCTGAAGTTCTTGCAGTCTTGCAAATGCTGCTGATTCTCTGTCACCCATTTTACAGATCTGGCTTAGTTTGTATGCAGACTGTTGGTTCCTTGCCTCTCAGGCAGGTTTATTTTCAACTTTATGCTTAAAAAAAAAATTAGGGACCCTTTTCCACGCCTTCAGGTGTATTGGGCATATAGGGCTAGACCTATATTTTATAGACAAAATGGCACTTGGTGGGTGATGTGGTCAGCATCACGCCGGCCATCTTTACTGCCCAGGACTTACCTGATACCCCCTCAGAGCTGGGTCGACCTGGGAGCCAAGGTCATTTCTGGGAAAACAAGTCCAGCCCAAACTCCGATCCACAGGCAAGCGTCTAGCCGCCAAACCACGGAGGCTCCCCAACTTTAAAATAAAACATCTCTAATTATCTGACATGTATAGCCTGCTTGTAGGTGGGGCAATTGGTCTACCCCCCCCCCCCCACCACAATGGGGTCCCAGAACCCACATGGGGCACATTCAACTGTATCAACTATTAGCGCACAGGATAGAACTTATCATATGCTGCACATATCAGAGAATATGGTATCAACTCTGGCAAATAGATATAATCAAAGCAATGTTTTTCCATTGTGAATTTGAGCAAAGAAGACACAAACAATAGATTGCACAATTTATTGCCTGGCATATTTCGCTGTATCTCATCAGGTGCATACTACAGTAGCAACTGATTACAATGAGCTGGTAAACAGAACTGAAGCTTCTTCTGCGTTCATCTGAAGATGTAATTGCGTTGTGTCCATTTACAGCATGGCTGCGATATTTGCACCTTTCGGCCAACACATCCGACTTCTGCAGGCATTTGTTGACCGGGTTAGCCTTCCCGGTTAACTGAATCAATTACTGGCACATTGAACTGAATCAATTACTGCCACCTAGATTTGTATCCATTGCTGGCACATATACAGAACGATATAAACTACTATCATATACAATAGAAACAGAAATTACTGGCACACAGAACTAAATAAATTACTGGCACATAGCATATGAAATAGCGCAGTAGATCTTTTTTTTTTTACAAGCTAAGATGGCTTGACCCCAGGCACTGACTTACTTGTATTTTGGCCCCTTTGTATCGGATCACACCTGGCACCGTCGTCAATGTGGTGAACTCGTACGCAGCCACCTCAGAGTACACGCCAGCCAAGTTGCTCAGCAAAGTGGACTTACCGACTGAAGGAAACCCTGTAAATAAAGTTAGAAAATAGGGGTGACTTCAGTCAAGCTAGCATCATTAACAACATCACAGGTTCTTCAAAGTACTCTGTACTCAGCACAGCCCGCCTAAAAAAGACCCAGTCTTTTGTCAGATCTCCCGCATCATGTACTTTCCTACTAAATGTGTTACTTATATCATGTGACCCTCTTTGTGCTGGTCGGCACCATATCTTCTGCCAGTATTTTTTCCATAACTGAATGAAGTTGATTTTCAGCAATGACGCTTGGTCTCGCAGTGTGTTTAAGGAGGCATGCACCTTTTGGTTTTGCCAGATCAAATCCTGTGGGTTTTGCTGACTGAGGACACTTTGTATGGCTATGGCATTCACTTGAAGTATCCAGCGTATCTGACTCAGCTTGTGACTGGAATCACTGGCATAGGCGGGTTGAATAATTATGGGCCAAGCTCGTTTGCTGTGATGCCAGAACTGTAACGACTAACTAATTAACTATTATCCTTTCCAATGTGCCATGGTGCTTGATATAGTCAAAATATTTAAGTTTTTGGGGATAAGATGCTGTTTACTCGCTAAATTTTCTTGACCTTTTAAGACGTCAGTGTTTCTTTTCTTGGTCCATGAGATTCTGAGAATCTTTCAACAGCATTTCACTTGAGCTAGTATTAGGAATATAATCGTTGAACTTTGACCAGAAAGCAGGGAAGGAGGGATAGAAATCGAATGCTTTGATCTAGTTGTTCATCCGCCTCCAGGCTTTAGTCCTGATCCAGAATGTATGTATTGTGTGCATATCCGTTTTATACATCTGACTTAATTGTATGCAGGTTGTTGGTTCCTTGTGTAGACCGTTGGTTCCTTGCCTCTCAGGTAGATGCACTGAGACTTCCAAGGAAGCCACCATTTAGTCGACTCTTACCACATGTTTGTTTAAGGGGCAGTGGGTCTATTCTTCATTTTTCCACAATGCAAGCCCGGAACCAACACAGGGGGAACACACATTTTTTTCTGACAGGGGCAAAAATAACAATCCTAACCTGCTGAATTCATGGTGATTACAACACTAGCCATAGAGCCTTAAATGCTCAGGCTCACTAGCCTTGCAACCCAACTTCTAAAAGATTTTAGGAGCGGTAATTAAGGGAATTAAAGAATTGTTAATCCTAATGTCAAAAAAGTACTTTTGTATGGGGCAGAAACACGAAAAACAACTAAGGCAACTACTAAAAAACTACAGCCATTCATTAACTGGGTCCTGCGCAGAATAGAGGGAATTAAATAGTATGATAGAATTGCTAATGTAGAGCTTTGGGAGAGAACTAAACAAGCTCCAGTGAACCAAGAGGTGAAGAAAAGACGCTGGTGTTGGATAGGACACACACTGAGAAAACCGGAGAACAGTATAACTTGAAAGTCTTTGCACTGGAACCCACAGGGGCATAGGAATAAAAGAAGGCAAAAAAATGTTGAAGGGAGCTGGAGAATGAAGTTAGAAAGATGGGGTGGACATGGATAGAGCTGCGTGCGATAGCAAAAGATAGAACAACTTGGCAAGAGTTGGTTGAGGGCCTATGCTCCATTGGGGGCTAGAAAGGCAGAAAAAGAAGAGAGAAGAATTAAAGGCTGTAAAGGCAGTATACTTCTGTGTAGACCCAAAGAACCTGTCTGTATAATTTGGAGCAAACTAATTATTTGGTGGTTTTCAATTTCAAAGACCTATCCACTTTCAATGAATAATGTAGTCGCTATCATAGTAACCGCCTTTGCTTTCCCAAAACATTTTTTGAGTACCTAATTTTATGCTGGATCAACCTGGGTGTTCTGATCAGTTTTAAACATCCATCTCAACATAGATTACATAGATTTGAACACAAGACCCCCAGGGTCAGCCCTAATTTTAGGCTGGATCAACCTGGGTGTTCTGATCAGTTTTAAACATCCGTCTCAACATAGATTTGAACACAAGACCCCCAGGGTCAGCCCTAATTTTATGCTGGATCAACCTGGGTGTTCTGATCAGTTTTAAACATCCGTCTCAACGTAGATTTGAACACAAGACCCCCAGGGTCAGCCCTTTACTTACTAAGGAGATAACTCTGCAGGACCACGTATTTGTGCAAGCTTTCAAAGCTTTCTGTGCAATGACACATCCACACCCTAGCCTACAAGACATCCACACCCTGGCCTACAAGACATCCACACCCTGGCCTACAAGACATCCACACCCTGGCCTACAAGACATCAACACCCTGGCTACAAGACATCCACACCCTGGCCTACAAGACATCCCACACCTGGCCTACAAGACATCCACACCCTGGCCTACAAGACATCCACACCCTGGCCTACAAGACATCAACACCCTGGCCTACAAGACATCCACACCCCCCTGGCCTACAAGACATCCACACCCTGGCCTACAAGACATCCACACCCTGGCCTACAAGACATCCACACCCTGGCCTACAAGACATCCACACCCCTGGCCTACAAGACATCCACACCCTGGCCTACAAGACATCCACACCCTGGCCTACAAGACATCCACACCCTGGCCTACAAGACATCCACACCCTGGCCTACAAGACATCCACACCCTGGCCTACAAGACATCCACACCCTGGCCTACAAGACATCCACACCCTGGCCTACAAGACATCCACACCCTGGCCTACAAGACATCCACACCCTGGCCTACAAGACATCCACACCCTGGCCTACAAGACATCCACACCCTGGCCTACAAGACATCCACACCCTGGCCTACAAGACATCCCACACCCTGGCCTACAAAGACATCCACACCCTGGCCTACAAGACATCCACACCCCCTGGCCCTACAAGACATCAACACCCTGGCCTACAAGACATCCACACCCTGGCCTACAAGACATCCACACCCTGGCCTACAAGACATCCACACCCTGGCCTACAAGACATCAACACCCTGGCCTACAAGACATCAACACCTGACCCACATCACATCTATTCACGCCCTGGCCTACAAGACATCAACACCTGACTCACATCACATCTATTCACGCCCTGGCCTACAAGACATCAACACCTGACCCACATCACATCTATTCACGCCCTGGCCTACAAGACATCAACACCTGACCACACACATCACATCTATTCACGCCCTGGCCTACAAGACATCAACACCTGACCCACATCACATCTATTCACGCCCTGGCCTACAAAGACATCAACACCTGACCCACATCACATCTATTCACGCCCTGGCCTACAAGACATCAACACCTGACCCACATCACATCTATTCACGCCCTGGCCTACAAGACATCAACACCTGACCCACATCACATCTATTCACGCCCTGGCCTACAAGACATCAACACCTGACCCACAACACATCTATTCACGCCCTGGCCTACAAGACATCAACACCTGACCCACATCACATCTATTCACGCCCTGGCCTACAAGACATCAACACCTGACCCACAACACATCTATTCACGCCCTGGCCTACAAGACATCAACACCTGACCCACAACACATCTATTCACGCCCTGGCCTACAAGACATCAACACCTGACCCACATCACATCTATTCACGCCCTGGCCTACAAGAAATCAACACCTGACCCACAACACATCTATTCACACCCTGGCCTACAAGACATCAACACCTGACCCACAACACATCTATCCACACCCTGGCCTACAAGACATCCACACCCTGGCCTACAAGACATCAACACCTGACCCACAACACATCTATTCACGCCCACCAACAATGCATTTCTAGCCTTCTCCTGCATCACCACATATACCCACTTGGACACCCCCCTCCCCGCCCCCTTCCAGATATCCACACTTCATCTACCAAACATCTACACCTGAAGCACCACACGCTGTATCCCAACAATCACCCACACCCACCAATTGAGCCAATTCTGGCATCCCCACTTCCGATACCCATAACAATGTCCGTAAGTTGTCGGTGAATTTTTTTCACGATGATGATTCGTTATACACATTCGGGAAACCTCGGGGATTCCGACGAGCTATATATAGCCCAAGTCAAAGCAAATTGGTTGACTTTCACATTCCTCGTGGTCTGAAAGCATTTGATCGTGTTTTGCTACTGCCGATCGTGTTTGAATATATAGCGGTAAGTAGCCACATTATTTGATAGCGTTCAACGCATTTAAACGTAATATTCTTGTAATTATTCGATTCTCTGTCCAATTTAACTTTAGTTTGTAAAATTTTATTAGTATATTCTATGGGGGTGATTTGCAGTGGGATTTTCAAGATGCGATCCTGAAACCATCGTGGGTGAAGAAATTGGCGTCCATCTTGTTGCTTTAGAATAAGCCTTCAGCGTGTTTTAATTATCGGTAGTTATTTAATATACAGTTATTTTGTAGGCTCTTAAAACTGATTAAAACTGTGAAATGTATTTTTATCATCCATAATTAAGTCTATTTAGTCAGTTTACACCCAACGACGTGATAGGGGAGATATACAGAAATGGTTTTTAATTAAATCAGACTATCTGAGGCGAAAAAGGAAAAGGCCATTTTGTTACTTTTGTGGAAGGCGTTACTGCAGTTACCATAACAACAGCTGTCTTTTATGTGGTATTTATTTTAAGAAGTTATATTTATTCTTAATACAGATAATGCATTATCAATATTTTTATAGTTATGTTATAGTATTTAATTATTAAATTTGAAATTTTTTTTAAATAAATATTTTAAATGATACATGATATAATTATTATAATTTAATGAATTTATTATTATAATTATATATATATATATATATATATATATATATATATATATATATATATATATATATATATAGTATAGTACAATAATACATACATACAATACATATATTTAATTATATATATAAAATATACTACACACTATGTGACACATACAGTTAATAGATGTAAAAACAATGTAATTACTATTACAATATTACACCACCCCCCTCCCTTTTCCCATATGATGTTGCATACGCATATAATATGCTTATATAAATATTACTTTCTTACACAGCTCACCATGGAAAATAAAACAGCTTCTGATATGAGAGCATATCTGTCATCCTTTGAGCCAGAGTACCCAGTTAAGAAAGGCTATATAGCCCGACTGATTGTAAATGAGAAATTGACAACTGTAGATATTTGCAGGATGATCAAGGGCATGGTGCAGGTAGCTGAACCAGACAAGCAGATACATGAGGGGAGAGTGAAGGCGTGTATAAATGATATTAAAAGAAATGCTGCCAAAAAAATGAATTACACCAAGCAGTGGGCTGATCTCATCAGTTTTAACCAGCAGCCATTTTTTGTATCCTTTTTGTCTGGAGAATCATTAAGTTCTTCTTCTGCAACATCTACATCAGTTGTGCAGCCTGACCATACATGTGCACCACTCATACAAACTGATCATTCATCCCCACCACTAATTCAGCCAACTGATCATTCATCCCCACCACTCACACCTGTGACACCAGCTGACCATACAACTGATCATGCGCAACACACTTCTGCAACACCATGGATTGACGAGTTACCCTTTAACTCCATTCATAATCATAATGTTTCATTTTCTGTTTCACTGATCTCCAGGTCACCATCACCAAAGCGTTTAAAAAAAAGACTGTGACAACTGTGTAGCTAAGCAACGGACAAGTCTGAACATGCTGAAGGAGAACAGGCACTTGCGTTTGCAGATAAGAGCACTTAGAATTCGACATAGAGAGGAAAAGAAACAGATGTCACTGAAAACATTGAATTTGACAATAAAGAGGAAATCGGCATCAGCTGAACTTTGGAGAGTCAAACATTCAAATTTGAACAAACAGTTCCAAGAACAGGAAATGCGGCACAGGAAAAAGGAAATGTCAATTAAAGCAAAACACGAGGAAGAAATAAAGGAACTGACAATTGCCAAAGGAATATTAGAAAGCAAACTGAAGCAATCTGAGAAAAAAATCACTGATTTGGAAAAGAGGAACAAGCAATCGAAAGAACAGTTTTGTGAAATCCAAAAGAAGATTAGCAGTTGGATAGAGCTTTGCAAAGAGCCCCAAATGCCTCCATAGGATTTATTGATGCTAAAATAAAGGCTGTGCAAAACAAAACTTTGCACTGGCTACAGTCATTTGATGACGACTACCAAAACTTTTTGGTCCGTTTTGCAATCCGTTATGGGTCTAAAGTGAGGCAGCATCAAGCTGAGCAACAGAAGAAAAGACAGCAGAAAGATGTCCAGAGGTTAGACAAGACACAAAGAGATGTACATGAAAAACGATTATCAGACTTTGTGCGTACAGAGTCAGTGTTGTCAGTTCTCGACCTAGAGCTATTTAAAGATGTAGAGTTGAACACAAAGGAGAAGTTGAAAAATATTCTCAACAACGCTAATGCACTGCCAGGTGTGTTACTGCGACACGTCTGGTATGAAGAAGGAGTAGACACTGTCTATATTGAAATGGTAAAGAGCGTGAAAGAAAAAGACAGCCTGAAGACAGTAATAGAGCTGTATTACTGGAAGGAAGATGAAGGACCAACAGATGCCACCTTCAAGATGACTATGACAGAATTTCTGGTAGACTTTGCCACAAAAGAACTGGCATTTTATGAAGATTAAAAATAAAACATAAGTACTTTAAAAAAGAAAACCGATTTAGAAATCATAGAATATTTTTAAAATAATCAAAACCTTATTTTTGGAACATACAAATTTATATCAGAATTGTAATTTTATTATAAAGCTGTCTCAAAGTTTTATTTTAGTTGACGCTCAGTAAAGATAAAGGCTTCTAAGAGTGCAAGTCATCATCACGCTCGCTTGTCAGCCCAATCGACAGCAGCTTTCGTCGGCAGTCAAACACAGACTAATGGACATGGTGAGTAGCTATAACGACATGTTTAATTGTTTAAACAAAATGTAATACTTTATAATAATCATTACATACCATCTGGGACGTATGAACATATATCAGCTGTGAATAGATTTCAAACCCTCTTTTTTTCAGGTGTATATTTTGCAATTTTAATTGAACTATTTTCTGAAAACCCCACTTAATCATGTGCTAATAGTTACATTCCTTCTTTAAGAGCCAAGGTAAACAATGTAAACCCAGTGAAAACTTGATCATTACAGACAGACGTGTGAGTTGCTTTGTGGGCACTCCAACCAGAAAGGAATGTGGATACATGCAGGATTTGTTTGAAAAAAAAAAACATGAAATTATTGGCTTTTGACGATTGCATATCTTAGCTGTCACAACACATACACAATACTGACAATGGTAATCTTTTTTTTTTCAAATCTGTTTTGCTAAGTGCATTTTTTTAAATTGTCTACTATTATATGTGTATGTTAATTACTTTTTTTTTTTTTTTGTGTGTTTAGATTGGCATTGGATAGCAGAAGCAAATGATGTAATCCTTATGCTGGGATATGAAATCTTTCTAAAGTACCGGAGAGTTTTGGGAAATGCCTTTATGGTCTCATAACTCGGTGAAGGGAAAATCCCAACTGCAGTTCTGCGCGGTAGAGGATGGGCAAACACAGCTCTGGGGACCGAGTATCCACCGGAATAAGTGGACAACTCTGCACTTAAGCAGAGCAGGGCACTCACTTGTCCTGACAGTCAAAAATTGCTGTCAAAGGTAGAGGTAAAAGAACCCCCATGTGGACGTGGAAGGCACTTTGACAGTATGCTTTATAAATAAAAATAATCAAATGTTGAAATAAACCACACAAATTGTTTGTTCATTTGTGATGACTGGATTATTCAGAGTGAGTCAAGGGGGAAAATGTCAGTGTACTTCAGATTTGTAAAGATGGTTTCGCTTACTTAGTGACAATGGTTATTTTTAGTTAATAATTAGTGGCCAAAATAACATAAAATAAGGGGGAGGGGAGAAGCACATGATACATCACCAGGACTAAGGGAAAAAAAAATTCATCTGTTCCGAAATTTGATGGTGATTGTGAAAAAAAAAAAAAAAAAAATTTTTAAATTAATTAATTAATATAAATATTCAATAAGCGACCTAGTTCTAATTTGAGCTTGACATGTGCTTATGTCTTTAGCACATTTAAAGCTTTTTTTCTTTTTCCAATAAACGTACCAAGGAAAAAAAAAATGTAAAGACCGTTATAAAGTTTATAAGAACATATTGAGTAATGATTATGATAAATGGCGGCCATTTTGAATAATTATTAGTCAATTATTAGTTGATATTACGTAACTACTAAAAATTTCATCTTTATTCAGTTAGAGATTGTTGTCCCGAATCCAAAAATATATGGTTTCTAGGGTCTTTTTTAAATACTTTTTAAGTAAAAGCACTTTTTAAACACTCCTCTAAGACTTACGATTTTAAGGCGACAAGTTTTATCTCACTTTTATTTTTTCTTCTTTGTTCATTTTTTCCACAAAAACTTCAATAACTTGGCTTAGAATTGACATACAGGCATGAAAGAGGTACCGTTGGAAAGAGCTTTTCAATATGTATGCAGCTGTACTGGTTTTATAAGGAAAAAATGATTTTGAAAATTTGACTAAAGTGGCTAATTTTTAGCCTCGATAATTTGAGACTGTTATTCGGAGGCAACTGCCAATGGATTTTTATGTGCGTAACAATACTTACGGGCGTCCAGTCTTACTATCCAGAGACCAGGGGAAATTACTAGAAGTCCATGTGAAAACATCCTAGCCTTCACCGGGGTCTGAACCCGGAACTCCAGCACTTGAGGTGGATGCCGTAACTCGAGACCACTCAGTACCCCTAATATACTTTATTAGTTATAATAATATTAGCAATAATATTAGACTGACACGACATTGAAATTCTAATAGTTCTTATTCAGACGTTCCTTTTATTTTTATGTGACGTATCAGTATTATCACCATTATTTTAGAGAATGTG